TCTTTATGTGTCTACACATTTATTTTGTATATAAAAATGTCTTATACTTTGAAATATCAATAGAGAAACAAAATATAAATGTAACACCCCAATTCGTATAACTCAGACTTACACGAATTAAGGTGAAACCGGAGTTAAATATAACTTTCTCTTGACATTTGAAAATGACAATTTATTATAAATGTTAAATTTACAGACTCTGGATCGCGACCCGTTTAAAAATATTTTCGGAGTAATGCGGAAGTACAATAATAATCAAATCATGACACATTTAAAATCTTGATGATCAAACATTTGCCTGTCATCCTTGCATCTCCTCTGACTCATTGTCCTCCGGGAGTGGTTCCATCATTATCTTCTTGTTACCTACGTGTAGTCAACGAAAAATACAAACTACACGCTCAGCGAAACCGCTGAGTGGCACTACGCTTGAATTGTAGAATGATTCACAGACATATACATATACACATATATACGTCCACAAAATGTATAATAATATTCATGATATGGCACATTATATCATATGATCAATTTGATGACTCATAATGATAAATATTTATTGATGATTAATTACATGATGGCACATTTAATCAATTTGCTTGTTCGTGAGGATGATTACATGACACCTATGTAATCAATATATTTGATCTTGATGATGATTACATGACACCTATGTAATCAATGTACTTGATGATGATAACATGATGCATGATCCTATAACCCACAAGGAACGACCTTGCCCCATGAGATTCACACATTTGGTACGACGAACTCATGCCACCTTAGTCTCACGAATGAGGTGAGACTAGAAAAATAGGGGTGGTACTCGAAAGCCTGAATACCATGTACGTACACTAAGCCCGGTCAGTGATGTTGGACTGCTAAGTCCCGCACAATCACGCTATAAGAGACGCACGATGCATGATTTCTTACGCATGCATATGATGTGATATTCTTCAATATGAATGATGAAATGAATGATATGATGTGAACAATTTGCAAACAATATGAATATATAATCATGCATAAGTTTATTTGGTTGAAACATGATTAAAATATCATTTAATCAAGCTACTGGGCTCGGAACGGTCGACCGTTTGGCACGGCGGTCGACCTTGATCTTCACTTTGTCGGAACGACGGATCATCGTGATGGTCGACTGTGGTTGACCGGCGGTCGACCGTTGTTCACTAGCTGCGGATGGCGGACTTCGGCTGGCTGGCAGCGGTCGACCGTTCTGCTGGCAGTCGTGGTCCGTTTCGAAGTTTAATACGATGGTCGACTGTTTGCGTCGACTGTTTGGGTCTGCGAATCTTTCTCTTGATATTTTGAGTGTTCAAAATACTTCTTTAAGTCTTTTAAACACCTTTGATTAACATATACATGTTGTTGGGTTGATTTCAAATGTTTATATATATTTATGTATATATATTAACTTTATGAATTTGGTGTATTTTGGTCTTAACACATAGATGACATATATATGCTTCACATATATATTTTAGAATGATTTCAACATATGGATTAATATATATGTTCATGTATGTATGTGATGAATGATTCGACAAGTCTAGCGCAAGGGTACAGACCTAGAAATCATCGGCCGAAACCTTACGGATGAGCGGGAGTGGAAACAACATCGAAATTCACCAACTTTGTCATTCTCGTCACAATTGGACAGCCTGCCGTATTTTGGGCATATCTCCATCGTTTCTTCACGGAATTGCAAATCGTTTGATTCTGTGGATTCCTAAGATGTAAGGTATAACTTTCGTATAGAAAGTATTTCGAGTTAACAGATGTAAGACAGCGTAAATTGGACCTGAAGTCAAGGAAAAGTTGCTGTCCAGAATTTTTGAATACTCCGGTGAACAACGGTTCCGACGATTAACTCATTAACTTCAATATTCCAACACCGAACCTTCTCTACTATACCTTCTGGATGTTCCTAATAATCTTTAGAGAGTTTATGGTAAGTGTTTGGAATGAAACAACATGGATATGGTGAGGAAACATAGCCAACCCGAGGAGCTCGCCACCACTGGCGCAGTCCCGGTATTTTGGCCATATCTCCTTCGTTACTTAACAAAATCGTGAGCCGTTTGTTGGGCTGGATTCGTATCGTCCGGGGCTACAAATTTGGTTCAGAAAGTATTTCGAGATAATGGGTGGAAAATTTCAGGTTTTACCTTAAAGTGGGCTGCTGTGTTTGAGCTCAGGATTTTGGATACTTGGATAGTTTCTTCTTGCTTCTTCTTCTTCCATGGACTAAAATAATGAGTTATTGCTTTTGTGTTCTTCTTGTTTGTGTGAGAAATGAGAGATGAAAGGAGATGATGGTGTGTGATGATGGGAGATGATGGTGGTGGTAGTGGATTTGGTGGAGGATTGGTGGGAGTATTGAAATACAAAAAGAGTTTGGAGTTATTATCTTAGTGGCCATAGTGGGGGGTTAGTGGATTTCTTAGGAGGGATAGGGTGGCTAGTGGAATCACTTACGTGATTGGGGAGGGATTTGAGGATTAAAGTTTTGGCTTTTTGCCAAAACTGAACAGTTTACTCTAAATGGTACGCGCTTTTTCGCCCAAACTGTTCCGAATTGAAAATGGATTGTGTTTTTGGAAACAGACTATCAAAAACTAGAATTTTGACGTACTCAAAATATTTTTCTGAGAACTTTTATTTTTCTGTGTCTGGATTTGTCTCAGTCATAAATTAATTTAACAATATGAATGAGATAAGAATATATGAATTAAATCCAAATGATGAATATGGTAATGTTAAGTGTCAAATATTAAGATTTCTAATCTTATGAAATCACTTTTGAATTGAGTTTAATTTATGGGTCAAAGTTACAAATTTTGATATTTAAAAAATCGTCATAGCTTGAAATATATAAATCAGATTGGTTCATAAAATGTACCGTTGGATTCGTCTCTTCTAGACATATCCATAAAAATAAGTTTTTAACAAAAACTCCTTATTTTGAAAATCCATTTATTTTTGGTCAAACGTATAAATATTCCTTATTGGACAAAAACTATTTTTTGTTTATTAATAAATTCTAGGCCTTATTTTGTGGCGTTACAATAAACATAAAAAATTAGGAAAAACTATATATAACAGATCAGATATTCGGATAACCGGTTATTTAAACGAATGCATATTCGGATCGGATTTTTAACAGATCGGATATACAATTACCAAATCCGCATCCGTTTAGTAATTGGATATCCTTAATCGGATACGAATAATATCCGTTTAAAACGGATGTGGATATTTCCTCTTTAAACGGATACGGATGCAGACGGTAATCGGATTTTCGGTTATCCGTTGATAGCCTTAAATTCACACCGCCACCTAATTTTTAAAAAAATTAATGTTCCAGTGCAAGGTTCGAGCAAAAATAGATCTCGCCTGAACATGAGTATCGTGTTAGAGTGCATATATAACTACTGGATCCCTAATATTTTTCCTTCAGACTATTAGACAATCCAAGGCCCAAATATCAGAATCCGGGCCTTGTAATAGTGAAAGAGTAGAATTCAGGCTCGGTTTCTATGGGCTGGAACTCCAGCCCAATCTCCCAAGTCCCATCTTAGCTCTCTCCTTGGTCCGATCCTTTATTTGGACCGGGTGCAACTATTGTCTCACACCAGCCTCTCTATCTTCCTATACTTGGGCTGGATCCTCTCAAGTTATGAACCCTAACTTGGGCTTGAGATGTACTTTGGCTCGACCCATCTTATAATGTCTTAATGGGCTAGATTCCCATCAATAACTTTTCCTAAACCTACAACCACATGCTTCAACTTTTGTTTGAGTTGGTTCTTTGCACAAACAATAACTATCTGTGTGGCACTCACAATATAGAGGTGAACACTAGCTTCATTTGAATTTACTTTAAACCTACTTTTATTTTTCTATCCATTGGGTGTGTTTCAAGAAAATACATCTTAATGTAAATTATTTCAAACCACAATATGATAAGTTTAAAATGATTTTTTATCGGGAGAACTCTCTAGATATGAGTAAAAACTATGAAAATAGCACAATATGAGTTATAAGTCTTTTAAGAACCAAAATAGATGATTTAAATGAGGTCAGATGGAGTATGTCAAATTAAGTATCTAAAACTCCAAATGGAAAGATTATACTTCATTTTTTGAAGTAATTGTATCTTTATGGAGATTCTTGATTAAATGTCAATGATCGTAATTATTATAAAGTAATGAAACTGAATAAAATAATGCACCTTGCATTTGAAAGATTATATTCAAGTAATAACAAAAATATAAACACAAAGTTGTATTTATAACCACATATCAATAGTACTATATTACTCCGTAAAAAAAAGCAGAAAAATTACATTCCAGTCTTACCTGTTCAACATAGAAATTTTCCCGTCTTGGACCAGAATTTTACCGGTCCTCAATTTTTAGATCGGATACCGGTCTGAAATTTTACCGGTCTTGCCTGGAACTGGTTTTTTCGATACTCTTGTCTGGTTTTCAGGTTCGACTTAGATTTTATACACCCCTACCGAGAATTATTATATGTGTGTGTGTGTGTGTGCAAAGTTTAAAGTCATGGTAACCTAGAAAATGTTAGAGTTAATTACCCTAGCTTTATTAGGGCTTGTTCTCTTTATCTGATTTGATTGAATTGAATTCTGATCTGATTTGAATATAATTATATTTAAAGTTTGTTCTCATACAATCTAGTTTGATCTAATCTGAATACGAAATAAGCAATAAGAATAAGTTAAAGAGAAAAAACTTTTGATTTATTTTTTTTACAATGTCATTGAATTCAATAGTTTGTAGAGCCCAAATATTTTGGTCATCAACCTTACTTTTATTTCATGGTAAAAGTTCAAGTAGACATCATTTTTAGAAATCACTCAATAAAAATATTGGTTCACAATAGTAATGCATTGCCCAAGTGCAATTTAAAAAAATAAAAGTAACAAAATAAACAAACAAATAAATAAAAATAGTGATGGATGTAGCAAATAGAGGTAGCTAACTAAGCAACGTAGTACATGGGATCGGGCATCTTGAAAGTGCGGAAACCAACATTTTCACCCACCAAATCACTCCATTGGTCTCCAATGTTTCCCACGATTCTATACCCTTTCTTCACCAGCTCCGTCCTCTTCCTCGTCTTGTACTCCACCACTGCCCCACCCGTCTCGTTTCTTTCCCTGCATGCATATCATATCGAGCCATTTTTATTTAATCGATGATCAAAACCCGTTCATTCGTCACGCTAGTTTGAAACAAATGTCGATCGATCTGCAATATATATATGTGCATACCTTAGGATGAGGGACTCCCAGATTCTGAAACCAGATTGATGAAGATTCAAAACCCTGGCTGGCCGGAGTTCTTCTTTGGTGGCGGAGATGAACACCACCTTAATCCCCATCGACAGCACCCTCCGGTAAAGCCGCAGTGTCTCCGGCATTGCCGGCGCTTTTGCTTCTTTTACCCACTCCTCGAACTTTGTCTCGTTGTATGCCTTTGCTCTTGATAATATGTGATCACGAATATAATTCACAGTCCAATAATTAACAAACAACACCATATCCAATCCACTAAACATGTCCACAGTCATTTTGTAATGTATCAAGAAACACATAACGATCACGTAACGACGATATTTAATTTAATAGAACTAGTAAATCGGTCGATCACGCCAAGATCATATTCGGATATGTTCCGATTCGAGTTTTGAAATGCATGCTCTGATGCTCGTGACCTAGTGTCACTGTCTTTAGATCGAGAGAATGTGGTACAAGCTTTATTTTTGAATACTTAAATTGACACTACCATTTAGATTTACGTCAAAAAATAACAAAACGTCAAAATATATACAGAGTATATTAAAGCCATCAAAATTATTTATTTTGAGTTTTAAATAAAATTTTAGATATATATATATATATTAGCAATATTTTAAATAATATAAGTAAGTTTCTTTAACTTTTTAAAAAAGTGAGATAGCAATACAACATCAATAAAAATGCATTTAGAAAACAATTATACTAAAAACGAGTAATAAGAAAGAAAATAATACTCGGGTATGGCAACACTAGTTTTATGAGACTCCGTATTATATTTCGTATTAAAGTACATCATATATGATTCTGAAACAAAAATACTTTAGCGGGTCTGTCAAGTCAAGTTTGAATTCAATCGGGTTTGACCCATTTTTAGCAAGTTATTTTGGGTAGAGTAATCTTCAATTTTGCTCAATGCAAACATTGTTCAAAAGCGACCAATACTTTTAAGTCAGGTCTCGCCTAGACCTAGAGCCGACCTCGAAAAATGAAAAAATGAAATTGGCCCGGTCTGAAATTTACATTTTGGGTCTTATTTTATTATTTTAAAATACTTATACTTCAAAATTAATGATGAATTTAAAAATATGGGACCCTAAAATTTTAAGGGTCCCGTGCGGTTGACCAGTTTGCACACCCTCCGGGCCACCCATGCGGCTAGACCTAATCAAATTAAGGCCAGGGCAAGCCAAGCCGCTATATTACGAGAATTTTTCAACCCGAAGCCCGACCCATATAACGGCCTAACAATTAAAACCCGACCCCGACCCACATGGATAAGCCCGTTATTTTGCGGGTGGACCGGGTACTCGAGCGCATGATCGGGTCTCACTCTAGGATTAGAAACAAGTCAAGTCAATTTTTGTCCGCTAGTTTTTAAAAATGCAATGTCAGTATGTCATTTACTACATACTCTCTTCGTCCCTAAAAGATTAATGTAGTTTGACTGTTTTGGTCAAATTGTGGCACACCTTTGACCACAAATTAAACATAAGTTAAAATAATTAAATATTATAAAAATTTAATATTTCAAAATTATATTTTAAAATAAATTCAATTTTACTATATTTATATTATAACTAAAGATATTTTTTTCCATAATTCAAGGTTAAAGGGTGTCACAATTTAACCAAAAAAGTTAAATTATGAGAATTATTTAAGTACACAGAGAGTGTGTAATTACATACCCGAACCCAACATCTGCTCGGGCATAATAAGGGAGATTAGAGAGAGCGGTCTCGTCAATATCAAACACCCAAACATCCTTGCCGTCCTTATTAACATGGCGCAACCCCGCCAAGTACCGTAATGCGGCGGCAGCCACGGCGGCGCAGTCATTGTGGTACTGTCGGCCAAGCATGTAGTGGCCGACATATCCTTGGCACAACCGCGGGACCATGTGCCAGTCCCTTATATTGTTGGTCTCCACGCCGAGCCGCCAGCTGAGGCAGTTGATGAAGGGGATGTGGCGGCCGGCGGCACCAGTCCGGTGGCGGAGAAGGTGGACGTTGTAAGGCGGGCGGCGATGATGTTGTGTGTGCGTTGAATTTGTGGCCGCCGACGCAGCCGTAGCCGCTAGGAGTGACACAAGGAGAAGTCGTACGAGGGTCGCCGCCATGTTGTCCGCCGCCTGTCCTAATTAATTACGTAGGTTAAGCTGAAGCTAGCTTAATTAATTTCATGCAAGATGATTTAATTGTTTGGTTATTTTATAAGTATAAAAAGTGGAATATAAGCCCAACCATTTTAAACTAACCTTCTTTCTTCTTGCCACGATTCTTGGGTGGGTGTAATTAGAGTTGGCAATCGGATCAACCAGATCGGTTCCGGGTTGGATTTTTTCGGTTCGGATATCTTTCGGTTATATGTTATAATCGGTTCGGTTTGGTTCGGATTTGATTTCGGTTCTATACATTTTTCGGTTCGGTTCGGATTCGAGTCGGTTCAGATACGGTTCGGTTATAAATCGGTTCGGATAAATTTCGGTTTGGATACAATTTGAGTCGGATATATTTCGGTTTCGGGTCTAGTTCGGTTCGGATATATTTCGGTTTCGGATCAAATATATTTTGGATATATATTATTTTCTAATTAAAATTTAACTATTTGTGTTTCTTTTTATGTTTTATCACATTTATCAATCTATCATCAATTCAATACCTCATATTACTTTATATTTTTTTCTAGTTATATTATCTCTACCCTAAATAATTTTCCTTTTTTGACTTTTTAGTCATATTTTACAAATTTGGACTACAAATTATGAAAACATATATATTTAATTATGATATAAATTTAATATAATTAAATTGATTTTAAAATTTAGTTTTGAAATATCAAATTTTTCTCACATCTACTACTCCGTAATATACTTATGTACATAAAGAAAAGGATAAAAGATAAATTCAAATAGTCTTATGTTCCATTTGAATACAATGTGGTAAAAATTGAGTAAAATTGGGTGAAATTAAGTGAATTTTATTCAATAGAGTGCAAAATTTGTAAATTATTGAGTATATTTGGTTGAAAATAGAGAAAATTAAATTTAATAGAGTCAAATATAATTAATCTTACACCTAAATGTAATGGTGTAGATCAAATTTGAAAATAATAACAGCAAAGGCTGCCGCTAGAGAGTCTTTTCAAAATGGCATCTAATTTTATTGACTAATATTGAGTGAATTGGTTTGAAACTAATCAAATTAACTCTCAAATCAATAAAATTTATTGTAATGAGATGAAATTAGGATAAAATCTAGTTATTCCATACAATTCATCATATATTTCTTTCGTCTCAAAAAGAATATCACACTTCACTATTTAAAAATTACGGAAATTTTATTTGTTTGTGCGTTATCTTTTATATGTATAACTTATCTTTAATTTCTACATATAATAAATTTAAGGCATAAAATTTTGTACTTTTTTTCAAGAAGATAATCAATTTTATGAGGGAATGAGCAAGTAATGTAATTAGTTCAAATGGTAAAATAAAAGTAAAAATTTTAAAATATAATATGCTTATTGAAAGGCAAACATAGTTCTGAATTTATCGATTTTAGTTCTATTCGGGTTCGGATATTATCGGTTTCAAATCTAATCGGTTTCGGATTTTATCGGTTTCGGGTATTATCGGGTCCGGATCTAATCGGTTTCGGGTTTAATCGGTTCGGATATTATCGGTTTCGGATCTAATCGGTTTCGGATTTAAATCGGATATGAATTATTTAGTTTGGTTTCGGTTCGATTCGGATCATTTCGGGTTTTCGGTTATAGATCGGATCTTCATTTTTCGGGTCATTCCGGTTTCGGTTTCGGATATTTTGGTTCGAGTAATCGGTTCCAGTTCTATTTTGCGAGGTCTAGGTGTAATAATAATCCGTCGTACGTAAATATTATTGGACCCCATTCTTCTTCAACCTCTTTATAGACGGTTTGTTGAATACTTCCTCCGTCCGGAAATATTCTTCCCATTTTCGTTTTTGGTTCCTCCGGAAATATTTTTCCCATTTCCTTTTTTAGTATACTTTTTAAGGCTAAATATCAATAATACCCTTCTATTTTATCATAAATCTACTTTTTTAGTACTTTTTTAATAATAAAAGGAGATTTAAAAGTTTATAGTATGTGCATTTTTGAAAATTTTACATTTTTTTACTATTCCTTAATAAGCGTGCCAAGTCAACACGGGAAGAAAATTTCCGTACGGAGGGAGTAATTTTTTGTAATGTGACTAAATAAAGATAAATCATTTGAGAGTATCATAAAAATTTAGGAATAATATTGTAAATAATTTGATCAAAACAAATAAACGAAAAGAAAACAAGTTTAAAAATACGCCATTTGTCACATTTTAAAACTTCTCAATTTCACTATCATGTAGTTGAAAAATGTTGAAAAATGAAAAAGATGTGATTAGAATTAGCTAAGTAAAGAAATTTTCATAACCACAAATATTTTTTACTAAAAGGAAAGTGAAATTTTTTAGACACACAAAAGAAAAGAAAAGTGATATGTTTTTTTTTTGGGACATTGGGACTAAATAGGTAAGACTTACTAAACCTTTTTAAACTTACAAACAAATTTAGAAATCAGATTAAATTACTCCGTATAAAATTGTTTCATATCTCTCTTTTCTTTTAATTTCTTATTTGGCAAACAAATAATAACTCTGTCCTAGTGCATTCATTAAGTTTGATTTTTTCAAGTCAAATTAGATGAACTTTTGAGCTCAATTAAATAAAAATTGTAATGGGTATTAGTATAAAAATGATTTCATTATATTTATCTTGTTAAAACTTTCAAAATTTGATTTTATTATATTAATATATAATATAAATTGAGAATAATTGACAATCACATCCTATTTCTACCATCACATTTAAGGACAAAATTTTAAAATCAAAAGGGGAATGCTTTCTTGAAACCGATCCCATGGTGTATGTTTTAGCAAAATCAATAGAAAGCAATGAAACGAAAGCAAAATTAAAAAGTGTAAAATTAAATGTCAAAAGTGAAAACCAAAAGAAAAAAACAAAGAAAGACCGAATGAAACGAAAGCAAAAGGAAAAAATTAAAAAGAAAGAACAAAGGAGAACTAGAAAGTAAAGAAAATTAAAATATACTCCCTCCGTCCCAATTTAAATCGCCTGTTTTGACTTTTGGACATATTTAAGGAAAATAAAAAATAAAGTTGATTTTCCGAAATTGACATTACTTTTTAGGATGAGTAATGATGAATGAGAAGATAAGGTAAAGAAGTGTGACTTATTTTAGGACTAGTTTAGGTATTTTATTTTTAAAAGTTTACGAAAACAACTAATAGACAACTTATTTTGGGACGGAGAAAAAAGGAAAACAAACAATTTAAAATGGGACGGAAAAATAGGTGTGATGATCACCAGGATGGGCATCGGTGTTCCACGGCATCACACAACCAAGGTGGCATGCAAGCTCGTAATCACGACACCCATCACGGTTTCACACCAATTGACTTTAGGCTCCCTTTGAAAAAGTTGAAAATGACTTCGGGAAATTGAGTTATTTTCCGGAAGTCATTTTTCTTTTCCGATGTTTGTTGAAATTGAAAAACTTAGGTAACATAATTCTTCATAAAAAAATTAGAGGGTGTTTAATTCTCGAACTAGTGATTTAAGTAAACTTTTAGCGCTCTAAGGTAATTTAGGTCATGTTCTTTCTCTTCACCTAATTTGATTAGTTCTGATCTGATTAAATTAAATTTTGATTTGATCTGATTTGGTCTAATTTGAATGTAGTTATCAGATCAGATTTAATATGATCTGATTCCAATAAGAACAAGTAATAAGTAAAAATAAGTTGGAAAGAACAGGACCTTAGTACATCTTAGTGTTAACACTATGATTTTGTAATTCATACACTAGCAATTTAGGTGCGCCTATGCCATAGGCCTCATTTCCCATTAAAATTTAAAAAATACATTTAAGATTTTGGTGAAGAAATCCTAGAACTAAAAGATGAGAAGAATGAGATGAAGAAGATAAGAGATCTCATTAATAGGGGTTAGAGTTGGCCTCTCCTCCGAAGTGATTGAAAAAAATGTATATTGGGAGTAACAAATAAAAATGTGAAATGAGCCCTAATATAACCCTAACAAAGTTAGTAAGTTTAAGAACAATTGGGTGGTAGCCCAACACACACTATCCAAATAAATAGTTAATCGTACAACATAAATGTTGGTGATGGTGATGAGCCTACCAGCATACAAGGATGAGCTCGTGAGTGAAGAGACCGAGCTCGAATAAGGTACGATCGAGCTCTGGTAGGATGAGCCCGAGTTCACGCCCTTGCTTTCGCCTCACCTCGTTATGGGTCTCGCTGCGGTCTGTCAATAGATCGGGTCTAGATCTAAATCTGAATAATACTTGCAATTCTTATCGTGGTTGGTTCCTTAAAAAAATACAGTTTACGCGTACCCGTATCTGTGTCTGTTATTTAATTAAAATAAAGGGTCAGGTTTAGGGCAAGTAGTTCTGACCCATTTAAAAATCGCACCATTTAAACAAATACTCCGTACATTATGTTATATATATATATATATATATATATATATATATATATATATATATATATATATATATATATATATATATATATATATATATATATATATATATCCTACAAATTAATACATATGAGTAGATATAAAATACTCATTCCGTCCCATTTTATAACGCCTGTTTCGGTTTACGATGTTTGACTGAAATTATTTTCAAATCATTTTATATGACAAATGATATACAGTTAAAAAATAAAAATTACATATTAAAATACTACATCAAAAGATCTACAAAACTAGTAGTGACAATAGTACTTTATTTTATCAAATTGCTAACGAAAATTAAGAAAGAAAGTGAATGAAGTTTGACTTTGTGAATAGTGAACATGCATTATAATTTGGAACGGAGGGAGCAGGAGTTAAAGCCTCTTCAGACTCCGGTAGTCCAGTGTGCGATGTACGCCACCTGTACCCATTATTTTCCCCTTCTATTATTCTCCTTTTATAAATTAATAAGTTAATACACAAAACCCAATACTCGTGAATATTATCATTTGTTAGTAACATTTTAGTCTTGTTTTTGTTTTTATTCAACTAAGATGTTCTTTATTTGTAGTATTTTCACTAATGTGTTTTATCAATTATACAAACATAAATAACATTAGCTTTTATCACGGGTACCCGATCCAATACTGAGACCCATTGAGTCTAAATCTAATACAAATCTCAAGATCTATCAGATAAACGGGTACATGCCAGGATCAATTTTTAAAGAAGTATGTTTACGCTATGGAACACTATGAACTGACCTGAACCCAACCCATTAACAGGCCTAGTCTTGCATGCTTCTTTTAGGTCCATAAATCATAGGCCCAAGTCTTACGCCCAATATAGCGATTACTTAAAATATTCATTTAGAATTTTAAAATATTTATTTAAATCTAGTAAAATTTGCACTAAATAGGACTAAAACATAATGACTTTAACATAATGACTTTCCCTAAATAGGACTTAATAATGACCTAGTGGGAAGAACAATGTCCAGTAATGATGGACATTTACTTGAATAATGACTATTTGTTAATGACCAAAAGTCTTACATTGAGAAATAAAAACATATGGTCCTATATTAGAAAAGTTATTATGTTTTAGTCCTATTTAGGTAAATTTCTCTTAAATCTAAATATATTGAAAGTTCTTTAAACTTTGAAAGAATTTATTGAGTGATACGGAGTAGATTGTTAGGGTTGTTAAGATGTTGTTAAACTACCCATCATATGTTCTTAAAATAAAAGTAGCATCTTTTTTAATTTTTAAAATAAATTTTACATTGTAATAATATAGCACTGTATATTGCTACTCTGTATTTCATAATATTTTTTATATTGTATGTTGGTTATATTGCTATTGTAAATTCTATTTTAGAAATGAAAATATGAATATTTATTATGCATGGTGCTTTTCCTTTTTTATTTTTATTTTACTCTCTCCGTTCTAATCTAATCATCTATTTTTGTTTACGATGTTTGACGGAAATTATTTTTAATGCAATTTATTTTAAAATTGATGTACAATTAAAAATTAAAATATACGCATTTAGAAACTACATTAAAAGATGTACTCCCTATATATTATTTGATCAAATGTGTAACGAAAATTAGTAAAGAATGTCATTAATATTTAACGTTGTGAATATTAAACATGTAACTTAAACTGAGACGAAGGAAGCATTCCCCCGTCCTAAAATGATCTTTCTAGTTCACTTTACGAGGTTTGACTGAAATTATTTTCTATTTAATTTATTTAATTATTATATGTGTAAAAATAAAAAATATTTTTTTTGAAACTATATCAAAAGTTTTACAAAACAAGAGGTGGTATGCTCATATTATTTTATCAAATAACTAATGAAAATAGATTTAAAAAATAATTAAAATATAAATATATGAAAAATATCTGGAAACATTATTTTAGGAGAGATGGATTAATTTTTTGAAAAATTTGTATTAAATAAGAATAGAACATAAGTCATTTCTCAATATAGGACTTAAACTTGTTTATTCTCTAAAGGGAGAAAAACCAAAATAGCACTCTAAGAGCATTAAAATACTCTAAATAGCAGTGCTATATGTTTCATACATGTAATTCCGATTTTGTCCTTTAATTAAACAGTATATGTTCATTATTCACTGCCAAAAAATATGATTATTTTGGGCAGTGTGGTTGTTCACTCGTAATTGTGTAGTGGGCAGTGTAGTTTTTTATATGTGAGTTTTTTATGTGGCAGTGTAGAATGAATATATGTTGTTATATCTTACGGCGATGTGTAAATGTATTATTGTGTTCCTTAATTTCATGTTGTAGTGTAATGTCCATTGATTTATGTGGCAGTGATTTCACTTATTAATTCTACACTGTCAAAAAATGTATGACTAATTTCATCTATGAATTCCACACTGCCCAAAAAATGTATAGCTCTTTTTATGTATGAATTCCACACTATTTTCATGTATGAATTCCACACTGCCAAAAATGTATATGATTGTTTTCATTTATGAATTTCATACTGCCCAAAAATGTATGACTGATTTCATGAATAATCTATTATACCAAAACACACTGGCCAAACATGGGCTTGGCTTTTTTTGATCTTTCTTGATTTTGAATAATGTTAGAAGATGTTAGTATTAGACATATGTTGAATTTCATTTA